GAGGAATGTCCCTTCTATTCCTATTTTGCTGAGAGTTTTGATCATAAATGGGTGTTGGATTTTATCAAATGCCTTTTCTGCATCAATTGATATGATCATATGGTTCTTCTCCTTTGTTTTATTTACGTGGTGGATTACATTGATATGGCTATAAATATTAATGGCAAATCTGACATAAAATGTTAGTAAAACTAGCAAAATAATAAAAGAATAATTCATCAAGCCTAGGGTTTATCTCAGGATTGGAAGGGTTAGGACACGTAGTAATGTATTCACAATGCTAATGGATTGGAAGAAAAGAATCCTATGTTTATTCCATTTGGTCAAATATACCTTGATTTAAAAAAAAAAAAAAAATGTTAAAATGTAGGAATAAATGGTTGCATCTCCAATACAAAAATACATCATGTTTAATGGGAAATATTAAGAAGAATTCTATTAAAGTCAAGAGTTAAAGTAAGGTTACACATTTCCCTCATGGAGTTAATATATATTTTTTGGTGATCAATATCATTCCAAGATGTAGCAGTTCTTTGCGCCATGTGGTTCCACTTCTCTGCATACTACTTCTATATTAAATACACACAAAATGACAAGAAGATAAAAGGCTATTTACTACATGTTACTTGTATAGCAAATGACTAGTTAGCTTGTGATGAATTAAATTGTTACATCTTATACTATGTAATATATAGTTAGTTGTTTTAAGAAAATAAGATAGCTATATGTGTACTCTATTGTTATTGAAATGAAATATCTTCAAGATACATTGTTAGTTGAAAAAAATAATCTGGCATCATCAGAAAATTATCAGAAAAACTTTAATAGTACAGAAGGTTATACAAAGCATGTATCTCTCACTACCATACCTAGTTCTTAGTTCTACTTTGTTAGCAAATAGTTCCTTTATTAGAATTTAAAATAAAATTTGGTCCTTTGATTCTTTAGGGCCAGTGGGGAGTGACAGCAGCAGAGGAAGAAGAAGAGAACAAAAGGATTCAAGAATTTCAAGAATCTATCCCAAAAATGTGTTCACAGTTGCGAATATTGACACATTTCTACCAGGTGCATATATGGATTAACAAAATGCTTATCAAATTAACATTTGTTATTTTCTATAATTAGTAGTTGCTTGCAAAGTGATTAAAAATGAATCATTTAAATCAATTTAGCACTTATTTATGTAGCTGTAAATGGTGGTTCTTAACTCTGGCTACACATTTGAATCACCTGGGGGAGGCTAAAAATTACTGATGCCTGAGACTTTTGCTGAGTTTCTGATGTACTTAGGGTACAGTTTAGCCTGGGTGTCAGGATATTTAAAAGCCTCAGTCAGTGTGCACCCTGTGCTGAGAAGCACTCACCTAGAGATTGTTCTGATTTTCACCTTACTGTAAGCTCAACTCTTTTCACCAGTAGTGATGGTGGATGGCTTTTGGAGGATCACTGCACATATTTGAAGCCCTTAAGATTTCATTGTATATCCCTTGCTATGAGACAGATAGAACTGTATTGTAAATATATTAGAAAGAAGTCTAAAGGGCCCAATATTCAGGATCACAGATGGAGTAGAGTTACCTGTTTTGGGGAGTCAGTACCCTACTGACATTTCTCAAATGCTGAAAAACAAAATTAAGTCTGTTGATTTTAAGCACAGGATGAACACTTGCTTAGTTTCTTAAGCACAGGTTAAAGAAGGAAGCTAATCTACAAACTACATATACATTCTCTGCTTTTTGTTTTCATTTTGTGGTTTCAGTTTCTAATTTCATCTTTTTCTCAGTGTGATTTTAGTGATGGGGAATATAGATGAAAAATGTTTATGAAAAATTTTTCTGTTCAGTTTATGATACATAATTAGAAAAACAAATGAAGCATTGACTCATATCTTTCAAAAATTATTTTTTTGTGTGTGTGCCAGTATACTCATATGGTTCAAAATTAAAAATTAAATATCTCCCACCCTGATTTGTAGGTATACAGTTTGATTTCCTCAGATCCTCATACTTTCAAATTTTCCCTAATGGAGTTAATATTTTTTTTTTTTTGGTGATCTCAATCAATATAATTCCAATTTTTATTCAAACTACAGTCTTAATCTTCTTTGTAAATCATTACTACTTAATTTTCTTTTCCTTAATAGAAAAACATTCTTTGCTGTTCTCTTTGTAGAGGTGCTTAAAAGCAGTACTGCAGTCATTGACTGCTTAAGAGTAAACACCCAGAGTCTCAAATTTGTTGAAAGAAACTATTTAGATTTACTTATAGTGAATTTTACATTCTTATATCTCAGGTTCATCACTCAATAGGAAATCATTATCTGTATATATTCACACACATAGACATTATACATTTGTAAAAAAGTAAAATTACTTTATATATGAGCCTACCCATGTATGAATTCTCCAGACATTCCCCTAAAATCTGCTTATAAGCTTTGGCATTCCTTTTTCTGACCAGAAACATGGAAAAGGATATGACAGCTGTTAAAGAGTTTGAAAAAGATTGACAAGGATATGGTGCTTCAATGACTTTTTCTGTGTCGATAAGAACTCTTCCAAGGCAGCTAGAAAATATGGAGACCTTGGACAGATCGTGTCTGCTAACAATGAAATAAGTTCTGTATTTTGTCATGGATGTTGTCTGTACTTATTAAGCAACTCTTTCCAACCCTAAGTAGAAACTTTGAGTAAATTTGCCATATTAAAGTTTGAATTAACTTCTATTGTATCTCATCAACTTTACAATGCTCTCTTGATAATGAGGAGGAATAATGACACTTTCTACACATCCCCTTTAAGAAGGCAACTTCAGCCTCAAGTTCATAAGTATTGGTACTTTAAGAAAATGATTTTGAAGATTTATACAAATATTTCATTTTACTTGGACCCTCAGTTAATGCCTGTGGATGCAGCACTGAAGAAATCAAGCAACATTGCATTCAGCAAATCTGTATCAAAAGACTTCTTTAAAGTGTTAAAAAGCAAAGATAACTAAGATGCGTCTCACCAAGCTATGGTATTTTTAGTCTCCTCATATGCATGTAGAAAATGGATGTTGAAAGTAAGGAAGACCAAAGATACTGTGGACTGCCAGAAGAATGGGAGTTCTGGTGGCGTAGTGCCTAAAGCATGTGACTGCTAACCAGAAGCCTGGCAGTTCAAACCCACCAGCCACTCCTCGGAAGGAAGATTGGGCAATCTACTTCCATAGTGATAGTGCCTCAGAAATCCAAGGAGGGTTGACCATGAGTTGGATTTGACTCTACGGCAATGAGTTTGGTTTTGGCAGAGTTAGCCAGAAGAACAACAGACAAATATGTCTTGGAAGAGGTACAACCAGAATGCTCCTTAGAAGCAAGGATGGTCAGACTTCCTCTCACATACTTTGAACATGTTATCAGAAGTAACCAGTCCCTGGGAAAGGACATTTTGCTTGGTAAAGTAGAGGGTCAACAAAAAAAAAGGAAGACCCTTAATGAGATGGCTTGACGCAGTGGCTACAACAATGGGCTCCAACAGGGCACTGATTGTGAGGATGGCACGGGACTGGTTAGGGTTTTGTTCTCTTGTACGTAGGGTCACCAGGAGTTAGAACTGACTTGACAACACCAATATATATTTTTTATGTCTTAAATTTATTTTCTAGTTGTGTTTTTATAACCGACTTATAATTACTCTTTCGTAAATAATGTGAAAGATTAAAAAAATTTAATACTGAGTTTAGTATTCAAAATAAAAAGAATAGTATGTGTTTATAATGGTTTACTTTGCTATTTTGCTTATAGAATGTAAGGGCAGAAAACTTGGTTAGTTTCTTTTAAATAAAATTTGTTGTTGTTGTTGTTATTTGCCGTCGAGTCGGCCCCGACTCATAGCGACCCCTCCTTGGGTTTCCGAGGCAGTATCACTATGGAAGTAGGATTGCCCAGCCTTCCTTCCGAGGAGTTTTTAGTCATAGATAATTTATATTTGTAAAAATGGAAATCACTAATAGGGCCTGCCAGCTTGGTGAACAGTAGAGTTATGAAATAACACTTGTTTCTTGGTGGACTTGTCAAGGTGGGTGTATGTTAAATGCTCGTTGACTTGGGAGGAAAAATAACTCCAAAGCGGATTAAAGAGAGGATACGTTTTCTGAATTTTTTTTTTTTCAGGAATTAATGTTATATTCTTTATGTTTCTTTTTAGGGTATTGTGCAGCAGTTTTTAGTGTTACTGACAACCAGCTCTGATGAAAGCCTTCAGTTTCTCAGCTTTAGATTGGACTTTAATGAACATTATAAGGCCAGAGAACCAAGACTGCGAGTATCTCTGGGCACTAGAGGGCGACGCAGTTCCCATATGTGAAGCATTTTGTATAATCACAAGGAGCTACAATTGATGTTAATTGTATTATTAGACATAAAAGTTCACTTTTAAATTCTAAAGCCAAGTGGCATGCTGCACAGTATCTACCATTTCTGTCCACAAATCCTTCAGGTGTTTAAATGGCACCATGTTCTGGAAGAATTTAAGGTCATGTTTTTATACACTTGAGTTGAATATATTTGTAATACCACTAAGTTAAATAGGTTGGTTTGCACTATTCAAGTTTTATTTTTTAAAATCTTCATATTTAAAAGATACCACACTTTGTTGAACTTCTGAGATCTCCATTATATAATTTATATTCATCATTTTGTAAGAAATCTGTTTCATTGTGAAAAAATTGTGATGGGATATTCATCAGTTAAGATGGTAATATCATTACTATTTTTTAAACATCCTCTTTAGATACCCTTTTTGTTGATATAATCAAATTGGAACAAAATGTCCCTACCAAAAAATATAGAGAGTATTTTATTTTTTTTTTTTTTTTTTTTTTGATGATGTAAAGTATTAATCTCTGTCAGAACCCTTATATCTTAATGTATTTTGTTTACATGTGTTTATTTTCTTTTCTCTTAAAGTTTACATTTTTGTATTTAATTTACTAAATCAAATAACTTTTAAAATAGGAGTGATGTAGAAGAAAAACATCCTTAACAGTGCATCTTAAATTTCTTGAAACTATTCACTGAAGCAATGTGTAAATATGAATGACTAGAAATGTTAATGAAGTATTTTATTTTCAAAATCCTGATAAGCATTGGAAAGAAATTGACATGGATGATGAAGATTTCCTTTTTCCTTGCCTATTTTTTCATTGTAAATATTTATATACTACGACCAGATGTTGGGGGGAAGTGTTTTTATGTAAAAAAGTCATATCAGGTCATATAAATTTGCCTTTATTATGTTCCATATATGGAAACTTAGGAAATTAAAAGCAATTATCTTTCAAGTGTATTGAGTATTTTTTGATGAACAGATGTAGCTCACTTGCCAAGTTTGGAAATTTGGGGTTGATAGCATTTGATTTAATGTGTTATAGTATATGGATTATTTGATAATCAGTGAAACCAAGACATTAGGCCATGTTTGCGACTTAAAATTGGCAAAGTTTACCTACCACTCAGTGCCTGTATGATCTATTGTTTTAGTGATCTCATGTCTGCTTCTGATTCCTTTCAGGTGTAGAGTCCATTTAAAATAAAAAGGAGAATCCAGATTCGTGGCAGGGCAGAAGTGAATGCATGTTGAGGTCAGAACTTCATAGGATAGAAATTTAACTGTAGTTTAAAAAGTCATAGAATCAGAAATTTTGAAGCAGGTTCTTTACAGCCAGGAATCATGGTATATTATGTATTTCCAAGAAAAATTTCCCAAAGTTAGTTGACCATAGAACCTGTTCTTATTTTATTTATTTGAAGTATTTGTCAAGGAATTAATATCCAGTAGGCTTACTCTGAAATGTGCTGTTCTAGACTGAGGGATTAAAACTCCATATAAAATGAGGGACTATCCAAGTAGTTACCTTAGATCTGTGATTTATGGATAAAGCTTCTGAGAAGATGTTCTTCTTTGTATCGATAGCCATGAAAGCCCTGGCAAGAGGTAAGTGTGCAGGTCTATTAGAATTATGAGTCAGAAAGGTTGAATTGTCACAATCACAGATACCTGTAAGAGTGTAGAGTGTGCTGATATGTAGTTAAGGTCTTTGAAGAATTCATTCCAGCCACAATGAAGTCTTTACTGTTAATGGACAGTGAGGTCTGTTACAGAGTAGAGATGCAGAGTAGCAATTGTCACATAAACCAAAATCAGCAAAGGTATTGATGGCTGGGAGGGTTCCAGACTAGGTGGTGGTGAGATAAGAGAGCAGTGCAGCAGAGAGGATCAAACGGGTTTTGGAAGCAGAGTATCATTTGCAGTGGCTCTGGGAATGTCACTAAATCTTGTTGTTGTGTGCCGTGGAGTCAGCCCCGACTCATAGCGACCCCTCCTTGGCTCTCTGAGGCACTATCACTATAGAAGTAGGTTGCCCAACATGTGCCGTGGAGTCAGCCCCGACTCATAGCAACGCCTCCTTGGCTCTCTGAGGCACTATCACTATAGAAGTAGATTGCCCAACCTTCCTTCCTTCCTTCCTAGAAAACAATAATCATTCCTGCCTTGCAGGGTTATTGTAAAGATTGTTGTTGTTATGTGCCGTTGAGTCGGCCCTGACTCATAGCAACCCCTCCTTGGGTTTCCAAGGCAGTATCACTATGGAAGTAGGATTGCCCAACCTTCCTTCTGAGGAGTGGCTGGTGGATTTGAACCACCAGCTTTCTGGTTAGCAGTCAAGTGCTTTAGCCACTATGCTACCAGAGCTCCTGTTGTAAAGATTAGAGGTACTGTTTGCTTAAGGTTTGGTTCATAATAGGTACCTAATAAATGGTACTGCTGTGTTCTGGTGGAGTGAAGCATTTTTCTCTGGATAGCTTAAGTAACCTAAACCTAGCTTTTCTGGAATTGAGGACACATTCTACCCACCTAGGGAGCTCTGGTAGCATAGTGCCTAAGACACATGACTGCTAACCAGAAGGCTGGCGGTTCAAACCCACCAGCCACTCCTCAGACGGAAGATGGGGCAGTCTACTTCCATGGTGATACTGCCTCGGAAACCCAAGGAGGGGTCCCTATGAGTCAGGTCTGACTCAACGGCACATAACAACAACAACAACAGGAAGTTTTAGTTACTGTGGCTGAATGGAAAGTTATTTATGATTGGATCTGTAATTCTGTTGAAAGGACTTGCCTTACTTGTGATTATTAGCTATTGAGCTCAGCTGAAGCAAGGAATACACTTGCCTTTACTTCCTTGCTGACCTTGTCTCTAGCAGAATGCATGGCATCAGTAATTCTGAAGTCCCTATGGGAAAATCTGTCCTCTGGACTTTAAAAAATAGGACATGAGAGCACAGCGAACACGTGAAGACCCCTGTTTATTTGTAACAGCACTGTTATCAAATAACTATGGTCATACTCAAATTGAGTCACAAAGCATAAATTATTTACAGAAACAGATATTTGTTACCAGAAGCTGAATTACCATCGTATTGTGTTTGATCTCTAAAGGTATAAATTCAGTTTGTGGTCTAAGGTAAACACCAGGGTTGCTTGCAGATGTTAATGTTTGATTTAAATACTTTGGTTATAGTTAAGAGACGTCTCTCCTGTTTTCTGTTCTTCAGTACCTGTAGAACTAAAAATTAAATGGTTGGCCCTATGTTACTAATAAAAACATCCCTTCTTCCAGTAAACATTTTATGTACTTCAATAGATATGTAAGAAGAATTAGAACAATACATAGAAAATTAGAATTCAGAAATAGTAATTTTGTAAGTTATATGGAAATAATGATTAGATGAATGCAATTAAACATGTGAATGCTAGGTAGAACAAGGTTAATTCTGAATTTGGTGCAGTTGGAGCTAGATTGCTAAGGTCTGTTGGAATTTGACTTGGTGGAAAACAAAGGAAGAGTGACAGATCAAATTAACTCACAGATGTCAATTCTTAGAGCTTTTTGTAATTTGTCAGAAATAGCACAGTCTTGCACTAGTAATTGTTTGTCCTAATGACCCCACTTAGTTTTAATAACATAAGAATTACTTGGCACCTTTTTAGTGGGTAGAATATAAACAACTTTTCATTTTCTACTGAGGTTATTAGATTATTTGGAAATTTTTAGTTAACTTCTGGAAATTTTTACTTTCTATATGATCATGCATGTTCATTTAGATTTCAAATTCATTGGCACTAATTTTTACATAGATGCCATTATAATTTTTTTAATACTCATGTTTGAGTTATACTCCTTTAATTCCTAATGTTGCATATTTTATTTATTTTTTTCCTGGTACATTTACCAAAGTTTATAATTTAGATCTTTTCAAGAATAATCCCTTTTTTGGCGTTATTTATCATTGTATGATATATGCTTTTTGCTTTATTTATAAATTACAGTTTTTATATTTACTATTTTCCACTTTCTTTTGGGTTATTTCTTCAATTGAATTCTTAGAGAATTTATTTTCTCATTGTTAATAAGCATTTCAAAGTATGAATTTCCATCTGCATATAATTTTAGTTATATCAGGTTTTTTTATAGTGGATTCTCAATGTCATTAGTTCCTAACTAGTATTTATTTGCTGATGCTTACTTTTTGACTTGATAAAGCTACAATTTCAAATTTTCAAGGATACTAACTTTTTTTACATTGCTTCTTTTTGAAAAAGAAGAATAAAAGAAAATAAAATTTTCCAAGCCATATATTAAGAATATAAAGCTACAGTGAATGAAGCAGTGTGACACAGGATAGAAAGAAACATCATTGGAATGGAAGAAAGTGTCCAAAAATGCCTGTATTTATGGATGTTTCGTATATGATGGCAATTCACTTCACATGTATGGTACATGTCTGATTATTTAAACAGATGCTTTCGGCGATTGTTTTGGGCAAAGCATTTAGGAAAAAAGAGCTTAATCTCATATTACACAAAATGAGATGGGTTAAATATTTTAAATATTAAGACTAAAAACATTTTAATTACTAGAATAAAATGAGGGAATATTTTTCGTAATCTCAGTGTTTGTAATAGTTTTTTTTTTTGAAGCACCATCTATACCTATGTTTATTTGATTTTACGACAAAACATAACCAGTTTTATTGAGGGGAAAAATTGAATACTATTGTGGATTGTTAATACAAATAAGATGGACAAGTAAGATGTATGCCTGAGGTCAAGTGACTGAATCGTCTCAGATACTCTCGTTCGTGCTCTTGTGCATTGAATAACCTTCATTATAATGTACTCCGGTGACTACTGAGAGCCCCTCTGCTGGTTGAAGATCTGCTGAAATTTGTCCAGACTCTCCATTCCAGGTTCTGAAGCAGCTAAAGACTCTTCGTGGATTCCATACTCTTCATGTTTTCTTC